CTTTGAAGACTGAAACTTGAAACAAATCAAATCCCACTACAATTAACATTTCTATACAATAGATGTGTAAGTACTAGATAATGAACACTTAATTTGAGGAATTACAATAAAGCAGATTCTGGCCCAGTTTTTAAAAATTGAGCAACCTTAAGTTTGTCCTAGAGTTTGCCCATGTTCATACCACTAGCATTTCTCGTTTGTCCCCTTAATCTTTGTTCATCTGTCAGCTGTTAAGGGTAGGGTGGCACTTGGATAAAGAGTCCATCTACTCTGAACTGGCATTCATTTGCTGTATGGCTTTTGGCTTAGTCTAGCTCTCATTTAGCATAGGATTTAGAATCACATGCTTATATACATATGATGTTACAGGTCCTGAAGGGACCTTAGAGATCCTCTGACCCCCCCTCATTTTACAAATTAGAAGTGTCTTGTTTCAGGATCACAGCCTTGGATAGTAGAACTCAACCCAGTTTTCTCCATTTCTAGTGGGATTTTTTTCCATTATACTACACTACTGCTTAACCACTGTACTAAAGTTTAGTACCATGTTTTACACTCTTCCTTTCCTATCTTTCTCTACACCGCCCTCCACTCATTCCCCAACATAGTCATCTTTTTTAAGTATGTTTCCCGGATAGAACATAGTTCCTTGAGCAACTAGTGCCTTTTTGTTGTTTTTGTATCCCTGTTGTCTGGCACATAATGGGCATGAATAATGCTTGACTTAGGTATTGAATTTGGGATCAAGCCTAGAGACTGCCTGGCAAGATTTACCCCAAAAAAGTATTATTGCTTTACTGGGATACGTAGGATAGTCAGGGTACTAGATGTGCTGGGAAATAACACAGAACTGTTTATTCCCCAGACAGACTATTTTAATAGAAAAATCATCAAATAATTCAGCAAATATCTACCAAGTACATACTATGTGCAAGCTGTTCTTCTAGTCAGGTGGGATATAAAAATCCAATCCAGAACCTTTATTTTATAAACGTGGAAATCGTGGTCCCCAAGACGTTAGATCTAATCACAATTAAGCAGTCACCCCCTTTTTTCCCCAGCATTTTATCATTAGACAACAGCAATTACATAGGAATGCAGATATTTTTCTCCTAATTCTTTGAGTAATTTAGTCTTATGTGTGTTAAATAAACCTGATTCTGGCTCAGTTCTAGGCGTACAACATGGGCTGAAGAAAGGAAGCTCAACACAGAGACCTTTGGAGTGTCGGGAAGATTTCTTCGAGGCCGTAGCTTCAGGGGTGGTTTTAGAGGTGGAAGAGGCACTGGAACAGCCCGGCGCAACCAAACTTCCCATAGAGCTGGTACTGGGAGAGTTTGAGTGTAACTATTTGTAAGTATGGAGGAATGGCTATTTCTTGCCTAAATATAAATTGGTCTGTTGGGAGAGATTTGTGAAAAATTGAGAATAGACTAGAAGCTTCCTCAAAAGGCATTCAACAGCAGTGTGTTAAATTTGGTTTATTTCTTTGTCCAAGAAGAGGAAAAATTTTAGGCAAGGAATTCATTTACCTGTAATTTGGAGTGAAGAGAAATTTTTTTTGGACTTGTGATTTCAGTGGTGTAGGAAATTTATTGATATAGAAACTCCATCTTTATGAAGATTGGTGACTCATTTGTCACTGAAAGTTTGAAGTGCATCAAGTGTAAGTTACTTAGAAATTTGCCCTGGTTACAGCTGGTCTGTGTCAAAGGCAGTACTTCTTAATGAAAGAGTAATTTTAATCCTCCATTCACTACACCATATGATAATGTCCTACTTATTTTGCTAGGTGAGCCTCTGTTTCAGAAATATCCAAATCTAGAAGGCAGTCCAGGGGAAGATATAGCTGTTTTCCTCATGGAGCACGAATACCCAATCTTGGTCACTATCTTTTCTCTTGCAGGCTAAGTGGCACAAAGGTGATGCTGTGTATATAAGAAAACATTGAAAATGCTGCACTTAATGTGGGGAGAAAATGGGTCATTTTGTTTACTACTTTTTGGAAAATCCCACAGTACTACTGCTTATAGTTTGAACTTCTATTGAACTTGGACTTGGTCTGAGTAAAAACCACTTGTTTTTTGGAAGTGTTCATGGGTAACCTCTTTTGAGGTGTCTTGGTCTCTTTCTCCCCTTCCCCCTCCCCTATTTTTTTCTTAAAAACAGCCTGATTTTAAACTTTTCTTCTGGTATTTTGCAGAAGGGTTTCTGTATTCTTTTGTGAGGGTTTAACTAAATCTTCTACTTTTTTTTTTTTGAGACAATAGCTTTGACTTTTTAAAAGTAGAACCAAATCTCATTAAAAACAAGCCACTTACATTTTTAGTAACCAAACTGACCCTTTGGTGCTGCTGGTCTGTCACTCCCACTTCTAAGAAGCAACATGTTTCAGTAACTCTTGGGTGTCTGGAGACCTGGATGCCCAGTACTAAATGGGGTTTATGAGTATTTGGGTTGGTTTAGGGGTGGGTTGGGAGGGAGTATAGGGGTTGTAACAAGAATCATGTATAAACAAACCACGGAGTACCCAGGGTAGGTGTCAGCCAGAACCCAGAGATGAGTTGTCAGAAGAGGAAGAGTTAAAGGAGACTTCGAAGAGGGCCTGTGAATATTCAAAGCTGAGGGGCCAGGGTAGACTATCATCCCTGTGGGAACTGATGGGGGATATAAAACTCAGGGCCAGCCTCCCTAGAAAACCTCTTCATCAGCCCTCCTTGTTGCTGCCAACCAGGCTGTGGTACATGCTGCTTACCAGTCACGTGTTGGATTTTGGCATAACGCTCTTGAATGCTGTTCTCATCCACTTAGGAATAGGGGGAAAGGGAAGGGTGGAGAAAAGAGCAACCTGCTATTCAGTGAAGTTGAGTTGGCAAAGGGCATGTTTCCTCCAATTTGTAAATAGTTCCATTGGTTTTTTGTTTGTTTTAAAGGTGGGGTGGAGGGAGGGTGGGGAATATAAATTTGTTGCATGAGTAAATGGGTTACATCTTTAGTATAGGCATGTGCCCCTCTCTGGTTGACAGGGCATTTTGTTGAAACAAGCACCTTGGTAAATGAAAACTCCCTTAAAATAGCTACAAAGGTTTTAGTTATGCATTGACTAAGTTACTGTAAAAGCTTGGGTTTATTTTTGTAGGAGTTAATTGCTAAGAATTAGAAACATAGCAATGGGGCTGCTCTGTTGGGAGTATTGTAAATTATAAATAAAACATGCAAATGTTTAATACTTTTTCTTCTTGACTTTATCGTATGTTCCCTAAGTCATTTGATTGCTTCAGGGCAGCTACTGATTTATATGTAGCTTATCTGTTCTACCTCCTTAGGCTTTTTCACATTAGTGGTTAAACTGGAGAAGAGATGCTATGAGGAAAAAGATAAGTTGTCTCTTTTGGTACACGTTTAAGATTTTCAACAATAGAGAAGCTAAAATTCAACCTAAAATGAGACTGTTTCCTATTTATCCTCCCTCTTGACCTAGTAGTGTGGGTAACAAAACCTTTATGCTTGAGGTAGAGAAGAAGCAATAATAGTATTGTTTACTTTTGGACAATGATTTTTCACTGTTAGGGAACTAATTCCCTCCCCAAGCATCCCATTCTATTTTAGTGATTAGCAGCTCTTCCCTTATGTCACACTTCATCTTTTAGTCACTGCTCCAATATGGGCCTTACGGAACCACAAACAAATTTTTCCCATGACAGCCCTAAATGGCACACTTCTAGATTGGCATCATCTACCTGCATTTTCCTCACCCCTTTTATTCTTTTTAATGTGACTTATAAATACTGTTCAACAAGCATTTTCCTCATTTCCCCAATCCTCAAAACAAACCAAAAAAAAAAACCCCTCGTAGTTAATATGCGTAGTCAAGTAAAACAGATACCCAAATTGACAATGTCCAAAAATTACTCAATTCTGCACCTTAAAGCCATCACCTGTTAGGTGGATAACATGCCCTCTTTCTGAAAACTAGATTTGGGGTCAGCTAGGATTCAAATCCAAGTTCTCCTGTTTATTACCTGTGTGACTTTGAGCAAGTCACTTTTCATTTCCTGGCCTCAGGATTCCACGTGTGTAAAAAGAGGAGTTTTGGTAATATCTTAAGGTTCTTTCTAGTTTTAAATTCCATAAGCCTTAACAATCCCTAGTTGTTTGGGTTTAAAAAATAATCTTTATTAATGTAGCCATAAGTTTCAGGTTCTCTTCTCAGACAGCTCCTGCTGGAGCTTGTCCTTTCTAACCCATGGTACCTAAAAGTCTAAACAGTATTCCAGACAAAGGCCTGAACAGCCTATTTGAAGCCTGTTCATTCTGTATATTATGCAACGTTAATGAAGCCTAAGATAACTAGCTGCTTCCGCCGTCAGTCATAGTTGAGTTTGCAATCTTACTATTCCATCCCCAAGGCTTTTTCACATTAAATCTTATCTTGATAACTCCTTCACTTTATTTTTTAAGTTTCCTAATAAGTAATTAAGCAAATCACTAGCCTGAGATCTCCCAACTAGTCCCATTCTTGAGAGACAAAGTTCAAGCCCCTCAAAATTCTGGCTTTAAGGAAATAGTGAAACAACTGCTAAGAACAGGAAGGCAACTTTGGACTTAGCCTCTTTCTGTATGGCCCAGAGAAGCAAATCTTACTAGATCTATGTTAATTGGCTTCAAGAAGCCAATACGAGAAATCTAGTTGCACAGTTAAGCCTTAATGTTGGGTCTTAACAGGGGTCAATTAAATCATACACTGTGATAAAAGCAGATATAATCTTAGCCTGAAAGAAAAAATGTTAGCTTTATCCCCTAGAAATTAAGTGTTGAGATGTTACTTTAGTGATTAATTTGGCATAATTAGCATACACCTGAAGGATATAGGCATGAGTTATAAGGAACTGTACACACTGTCTTTTCCCATTTCCATGGAACTGGGATATCCTTGTTAACTGTATTTTCTTAAAAGATGTCCCACTCTGAGAGAGAGCAATGAGGAAGCCAACAAAAACTTTTTATAATCTGATGGATTTGAATCTGTTTATTTAGTACTGTATCAAAACCAATGAAATCATGTAAATACATTGCTAGATTTTTGAGGTGTGCTTTTAAAATTGTCCCTTCTGGGTTTTTTTAATAGCTGCTTATAGATATTCTCATTCTTTCAACCAAACATTATTGATTAGTAGGAAGACTTGGCTAAGCCTGATACTGATTTTCACATTTCATATGTTTGGTAATAAAATTACAACCATTTGTAATTCTTGTGGCCAAGTGAACATAAACTCTGATAATCAAGTTTTCTTAATTGTTGGAATGAGCACTGCTTTTCTCCAGTGCAGACTAAATATATTTAAGCTGGACAGCTTCTCATCTGTGACTAGTGTTGCTATTCAATTTTAAACATGTCACTCGTTTTGGCTTGTACCTATGTTGGACAATCAGGCTCAGAAGCAACTTAATGGATGGCAAAGGTGAGGGTTTTTAACAGATTGAGAATTTTGGAGAAAGAGCTCCAAATCTTCAGGGGAGATCTAGAGAAGTGAACTAATGTGTCCTGGAGCACAGAGGATATAAAGCAGCACTAGAACCATGCTTGCTTGGTTCATTATCCTCTGTTCTTTGCAGGATGACTTAATTAGAAAACTCCTAGTTATCTTTAACAAGCTGGGACAAAAGAACTGACAAAAAAGGTTTTGAGAACTGGAAAGAAACATTAGTCCAATAATATAAATATCAAATTAACTGAACATCTTCCAATAAATATGGTCTCAGTAAATGGTCTGTTTCCTAATAAAGTGGTAACCTGTTCGAAGTAAGAGATTCATTGTTGAAAATGCTCAAAAATTCTTTTAAATGGTCAACAATGGTAACTCTCCTAAGAGAGTGCCCTTGGTGCTTCTGACATTCAAAGCAGGGAAGCTTTGACTGCCTCCCTTCTCCCATGTTCCACCCAAATGGGGACACATGAAGATCAGGTGGGATAATCTCAGTGAAAATTCAGTTTCAAATCTGACTACTAGGCTAGATGTGAAAAGTGCTATAGAAGAGAGTTGCTAGTTAAGTCCACATGCTTATATCATAAAGGAAAAAAATCTGGTGTACAGACTGGCAAATAAAGGGATATATGAGTAATGGTCAGGGATACTTGTACTAAATAAAGAATGAACATCCAGATATATAATTGCAGAGGTGGTAAAAATTGCATTTTTGTAAACACTCTTTTCATAAGTCCAAATAATAAGGGGGGGAAAAGCTTAAAAAATACATAGATTTATTTTGTAGGTCACTCGGAGGTACAACATGAATAAATGGACTGGAGCTGCCTACTTGTCATTTGTAGAATCACCATGATTTGAATGGATTAAAAACAAATAGCTAAAGCAACCGGATATTTCACTCATCATGATGTTTTCTTTTGTTTCTTCTTTTCATTTTCTTCTTTTTCTTTTTCAATTTCAGCCACATACTTTTCAATTTCTTCAGGATTTAAAATCTAACAAAAGAAAGATTCCATTTGTTATCATCCTAATAAGTCCTGAGCCCTAAGTCTTAGCCAGAAATCTCTTCCCCCCAATTCTTCATGGAAAAAACTACCAGACTGAAACCAAATTAGAATATCTGTCCCCTTTCATATTTGGAAATGGAAACCTGAGATGCTATGTTGCCCCAACTACTGTTCGTTTTGCAAGACAGATTTGACTCTCAGCCTGTCACTTTAGAAATAAAGCGGGGAAATTTTTTTTATATCATACCTGAGATCATCAGATATGAACATTAAAGCCTAGACAGGTTAAGTGATGATTTGACCAGGGTCACAGATAGTAACAAAACCTAGATTCAAACCTAGGTACACTAACTCCAAATCTAGCAACACTTTCCCTTACCCAACTAACAAATATTTTCATGTTCTTAACAGCCATCACAAATATTTTATAATAGTATATTATGAAATTATCCATATTTCCTGAGTACTTAAATACCTATTTTCAGTTGATTAGAACCTTTTGTGGTTTTTCTCCACCAGCTGTTTGTGAAAGCCAACTGGCATAGACAGGAACAATCTATCTTTTTAGCCAACTAAGTCAACACAGTGCCCAGAGGGAGGACTAAGAGAGGCAAACAGGCAAGAAAAACCCCACTTTAAAGCTAGGCAGTCCCAACTTTTAAAATACTTTTAGGTCTTTGGGTTAGTAAGCAGAAGAGTTTGGATGGACCAAAGAAGAAATAGGAAACTTTGGTATTTACCTTAAGAGGCTGATCTCTCCTCATGACAGCTAGTTCAATGTTTTTGCCCCCTGACTGAACCACCTGTAATAGGGAACAAGGAGAAAGAATAGAGTGTGAGGACATTTTTGCTCCCCTCTCGCCTTCCCTCACTTGGGTTCTCTATTCCTCCACGTTGACACAAGAATCTAGATAACCTTATTTAATGTGTGTTGTGTGTCAGTGTTTTTAAGCATATTTGAACTAAACAGGTATTACTAGGACCCAAAGCAGGAGTTACATGGATAACCAAAATTCATATATTTTCCAAAACATTCTTTAAACGTGTTGACTTCCTGTACCAGACAAAAACTGGCTAATATGGAATAAAAGTTTTTCCTATTCCTTTTTCTGCTAGAGATGATAACAAGGAAATACCTCCCCACAAAGGCAATAGCAGAAAGGCTGAGAAGTAACTGTGATGTTTCAAAAAGGAAATATTAATCCCAGCACTAATGGAGAATTGGCTATACTACATATAAGATAATGGAAAAGTATGTATAAGCAATAATTAATGGAATGTTATGGCCTCATATCCTCACAAATGCTCATATGATTGGTAGTGACTGTTAATGACATTTCTCGTGGGCTTAAAAGGAGGAAGGGAATCATGGCAGCCTAGTTCTCTAAAGCAAGTTAGAGCAAAAAGAAACTTTCCACTATCAAACTCACTTCCAGAAGGGCCTTGATAACAAGTTTGATGGTCAAATCATCAGTTTCAATGGCTTCATCAGTATAGTTCTTCTCCAAAAATTCACGAACAGACTTGGCTCCTCTACCAATAGCATTAGCCTGAAAGAGATACATGTCATTCACCATGCTGAAGCTAAATGCGAAAAAACAAAGAATGAATAAAATATCCAGTAAACACACCTTTAAGTACAACTGGCTAAGATCTTGGATTCATCCTTGTGTGAGTCAGTTTCAGGGACACATTTCTACCCCAGGTGCAAAAAAATGGGAAACCACAATGGTTCTAGGAGTGAATAGATCTATATTGTTACTATGTTTTATAGGTGAAATCACTTTGTCACTAGCCTGGTTTCTTCATCTGTAAAGGGAATAGATAAGATTTCTAAGGTTCCTGTCTAGCAGTGTATTTCCTAACCTAATCTAAACAGAAATGCAAATATGTTCTTGTGGGTTACAGGAGAACCCAGGCAAAAATACCAATGCAATTACACTCACTGGAATCAACTCAAAAAGTATGCCTTACTGATGATGGGGGTCATCTTCATATATAGAATCATCATGTTATTGGGCCCTTAGAAATCATCTAGTCCAATGGTGTCAAAATTCAAATAGAAACAGGGTTACTAAAATGTACATCAGGATCCCTGCAGGCTACATATTGACTTAGAAAACCATATATTACTTAACATCCTCTTTGTTCTATTTTCATTTTGTTAAATATTTCCCAATAATATTTTTAATCACTTTTGGTCTACATTTGGATCTAAGTCTTAGCTCCTCCTCTTCTCTCCCCCTCTTATTTTTACAATAACTAAGGCCCACAGAAGACTTGACCAAAGTCACAGAGAAAATTACTGGCAAAGCTGTGACTCAAACTTAGATCATCTGATTCAGTCCAGGGCTCTTTGTAATAATTGTCAATAAACATTAAGCACCTATGTGCCTGAACTTTGCTAACAAGCCACTAAATCACATTACCTCAATGACAACAAAACCCAGATCAAAACCACTGGTAAACTTTATACTAACTTAGAGAATACAAACTTGTTGAAAACTATTGCACATCTAGTTGACATCACTCTTAATATTTTTCATTTTGCTGTTTTCAGGGATTGTATACTGTGGGGAATTCAACTTGGGAGTACAGTGAGGGTTGTAATTTTACACGTACAATTTTAAAAATCTATAGCAAGCACTTCTATAATTTAACCTTACAAATGACTAGAATAAAAGCTAAAATTTTAACTTTTCTAAGTGGAAAAGTCATGAGGACTAATGATGTACCTCATTCCACCTGTCAAAGGTACCAGACAGATTAGTGATATCACCTTTATTGGTGGAAAGGAGGGGGACAGTTTTGGAGAAATGTTTTTCTACCCTATGCTCAATCAAAATTATACTCAGCTATTGTTACTTGTAGCAGTATCTATCAATAGTGACCTAATAAGGAATTTAATAAAGGCAACCACATGCCAGCATTGATAGAATAACCTCCAATAGCAGGCATCTCTTCAAGACATGAAATCCTAATTTTTCCTGCAAAGAATGTTATTTAAACAGAAAGCTAAAGCTTTCTCTTTCCCTAAATACAATAACAGGTCTGTTATCAAAAAAACAAGAAGAAATTAAAGTGTAAAATGTTCATCTTCCTTACTACTTTCTACTATTTATGCTTTAAGTAACTCAGGGCAAGACACTCGCCCTCTCTAATACAATATGTTAACTGTATCACAGCCAACTACACCTTTTCACAATTTTTACTGCTACATCATTAAAGGTGTTTTGGGCATATCATCTAGGTATGTAGTTTTCACAATACAGAGAAAAAAATTTATGATAAAGCAGATCATTTTAGTCTTTATTTAACCATTTACTGGTTCAGAATTGAAGATGCAACAAGTGTAAATAGCACTGAGGAAAAAAGACAACCCTTTTCATAAGGCTTTGCAGGAGACTATTCTGTATCTTTCCTTTCAGCTGATCACTCACCTTCCATGCATGGTATGTGCCAGAGGGGTCTGTCTGGTAAAGCCTAGGAGTTCCATCAAAGTCAAATCCCACAATAAGGGCAGAGATGCCAAAAGGTCTGCGCCCGTTACTCTGTGTATAACGCTGGTTGGGAGGAAAAATAAAACACGTGCTTTGTCTTCCCTTCATCACAAAATATTAACATAAAAGAACCCAGCAAAGACCAGGAGGAAATTTAAAAAAAAAACCATAAAAATTGCCATTTCAGACACAGGCTCAGTTTACTACAAGAAGTATAGTGAAATGATGATTTTATGAATTGTGATGGCCATTTCTGAAAATTTGCAGTAGCATGACAAAGTAAACTGATTGCTTCAGCTCTTATTCTTCCCTGTTTATTCATCTTTCAACTTTATCATAGTACCTGGATTCCTATTAAATGAAGACAAATCAGTTGTCTCAGTCACCCAGAAATACAAGGTGATGGATTTTAAAACTAACATTCTACAAAGATTAGTTAAAAAAAAAAAGATTCTTGTGTAGAGGAAAGAAGCTCTAAGGGCCAATTATATTTTGCCACAGAGGTAAACAGGTTTCAGTAGTGATTAAAATTATGGTATCTAAGCTTCTGGTTACCTCAGAGTAATAAAGCATCTGCATTAAGGTCATAAGCAAATACTTTTGCTTTCAGAAAAAATTGATTACGCCTGAGTAAAAAATACATGACACTTTACCAACTTGTAAATGATCAAAATAAAAGTTTAAAATTTTATCTTTTCTAAGGAGAAAAGTCACAGGATCCTTTAAGACCCTCTACAAAAAAAAATGAACTAGACATACACATAATCAGGAGAAACATGCCACAAAAGGGGAAAAAAACACCTCTGTTTTCCTTTACAAAGTAGTACAATCTATGTTCAAAATCCCCATATAAAGTGATCATTGGAGAGAACATTTTCAGTATAGAACTTTGAAACAAACCTGCTTCAGACTAGCGATGTAACGAGTGATATATTCCACCGTGACAGGATCCTCCACAGTGAGCCGATGACTCTGGCACTCTACACGAGCCCTATTTATAACTATTCTAGCATCAGCAGTGAGCCCTACAAGCAGCAGAAAGGCATTTTAGTTTGACCCAAATTTTTCATTTGGCTCAATAACAAGAAAATGATAGTAGTTTCATCTTTAATCTTTTGAAATTTTAATCAATGATTCTCTGTTATCCTTGTCCCAAAACTAGTGCAGCTCAAACTTACCATCAAAGTCATGCAGAATTACTGAAACTAGTGTTAATCTCACCCCTTTTCCTCTAGAGAACAAGTATGAAGATTAAAGAAGCAATCCAGAAAAACTGGTTACAAGCTTCGTGTCATCTTTTTTTTTTTTTTTGGTGAGGCAACTGGGGTTAAGTGACTTGCCCAGGGTCACACAGCTAGTAAGTATCAGGTATCTAGTCTGAGACTGGATTTGAACTCAAGTCCTCCTGACTCCAGGGCCAGTGCTCTATCCACTGCACCACCTAGCTGCCCCTTAATATATCTTTCATTAGGAACTCAGTTATATACAGAAGCAGAGCAGCACTGCATATAGAGATATACCTGAGTTCACAATCACAAACATTCTTCTGTATGGTAATAATAGGAACGAAAGTAATAAGCATTTATTAAGCACCTACATATCAGACATTATACTAAGCACTTTATGAATATCATCTTATTTGATCCTCACAACAATAATGATGATAGCATATGACACTTTAAGATTTGCAAAGCACAAACTCATTAATTCGTTTGATCCTTACAATCACCTTGTGAGGCAGATGCTATCATTACCCCTGTTTTAAAAATGGAAACATAGACTGATTAAGTGACTTGCCCAGGGTCACATAGCTCGTAAGTGTTTTGAGACAGGCTTCCTTTGAACTCAGGCATTTCTGACTCTTAAGCCCAACACTCTATCCACTGTGCCACTTAATAAATCCCATTTTGGTGCATTACAGCATGCTTTATAATGTACTCTGTGAGTTTTCTAATTAAAGTGACACTGTTGTGAAGCAAATAATCCCAATCTAATTCCTATTTTGTGTATATTCATCCATTATATTTGTTTAAGTTAAAATAAGTTCTATCACTAACATGAAAGTTAAATTCTCCCAATAAGTATGTTCTGGTTAGACTGACCTGATTCTTAAATAGTTTGATGACACAGTTGCCAAAGAAAAGCTGAAAATAAAAGGCAGGGTACAGCATCCTTATATCCAGAGACGATTTCATTTAGTACAAAAGAAACAGTATTGCTTATGTATTAGTAAGGAAGGCAGCAGCAGCTACTTATTAGACTGTGAGCTCCTTTCTTTGTATTCCCCAGCACTTAACATAGTGCCTGGCATATAATGAGTACATAATAAATGTTTACTGACTAAGAATGAGAGTCACACTCAAATCACAACATAGCCATGACTTTTTTTTCCTTTAGACCCACAACTAAGTTTCTTTAGATATGTTATTTTATATAATTAGCAAATTTACTTGTCCTGCTGAAGTAAGTCATCCTTGATTTAACCACAAAGTCTTCTTTAAAAAAAATATGGGCAGGAGAACCTGAGTTCAAATCCAGCCTCAGATGCTTGACACTTACTAGCTGTGTGACCCTGGGCAAGTCACTTAACCCCAACTGCCTCACGAAAAACAAAACAAAAACCAAACCAAAAATAAAAAAATATGGGGACACCACAGAACAAGTTTATTGTCTCATAAGAACCATACCTGCAAATGCCATGCAGACATTGTCGTCCAAAGCACAAATCTTCCGCACTGTCCTTTCATCTTGTAGTTTAGCCACTGATTTCTTCTCTACACCAAGAACAACAATATCTTTTCCTCGTACACCAACCTTCAATAAATTCAACAAGTTTGATAAAATATGGTCTCAGGTTGTCACGCCCAATGTAGATCTAAGACCCAGATACCAATGCAGGGCATGCCCTCAGATGGCTGCCTTCTTGGGGCATATGAGTACATCCACAAGGCTCCTCCTACTTATTACCCTCCTGGCTATTTAACTTCTTTCCCTGTCTTAGGCAAACTGAATATCTGCCACTAAGGTTGGCAACATTTATTTTATGTGGTCTATTTTTTAAAAAATTATTCTTCTTTCTATTTACATGTTGTAGTCATTGTGTATACTCTTTTCCTTAGTTCCACTTACTTAGCATTGGTTTATATCTTCCTATGCCTTGCTATATTCTTCATATTCTTTATTTCATATAACACAGTTTATTCTATTACATTCATGTACCAGTATTTATTTAGCCAGTCCCCCAATCAATGTGTATTTCTTTGTTTTCTGTTCTTTGATATTACAATAGAATGTTGCTATAGGTATTTTGGAGAATATTAGACCTTTTTATCTTCGACCTCCTTGGAGCAATTGCCCAGCACTGGAATCAATGGGCACTGACAATTTAATCACTTTGTTCACATAATTCCAAATTTCATTACAGACTGATTGTACCAATTTAACAGTTACACCAACCAAAAATTAGTATGCTCATCTTTCCTTCCAACATTGATTATTCCCATCTTTTGTCATCTTTGCCAATTTTCTGGGTGAAACTTCAATTATTGTTTTGACCTGCATTTCTCTTAACAGTGATTTGAAACAACCTTTTATATGGTTAAGTTTGAAATTCTTTTAAGAACTGCTTGTTCATATCCTTTGACCACTTATTCACTGAAAAACTGTTTTTACTGTCATATATATATAACATATATATAATATATATGTATATGTATGTATGTTAATTCTGTATATCTTGCAGATTCCCCCTCAATTGATGACTTCTCTTATCTAAGTTGTACTGATTTCAATAGTGAAAAAGTTTTTCAATTTCTTATAATTGAAGTTATTTTATTTTTTGTAATAACTTCTATTCCCTTCTTTGCATATAACTTTTTCTCCCTATCCACAGCTGTAAAAAATACCTGACTAGGTTATCTTCTGATTTTTTAAAGGGTGTGATATTTAATATTCAGGTTGCAGTTCTATTTGACTCTATTATGGCCAGCTGTTGATCTATAACTAATTTATACCTAAGTTCCTTCCAATTTTTCTAGCAGCTCTTGCCAAATAGGGAGTCCTCCCCACTCTACCACCACTTCTGTTATCAGGTTTATCAAACACAGGGTTGTTTAGTTCAATTGCTTCTCATCCAAAAGGTCTACTTATAAAGACTTTACCAAATATTAATATCTTATATACTAATGAGTGGAACCACCTAATACTTTACTTACTAAGCGATAATTTCCTAAGTTTCTTGACACTCATAATTAGAGAAAGAAATGATCCTGAGATGTCTTACCCTATCTGTACTACTTCAGTTTTACTCAGTGCATTATTTTCTCCAAGGGAGAAACTCTCAAGTTAAAAAGCTCTTTATGATAAAATGATGTCTTAATGGCTACTCTATTTTAAATACTATTCCTATGATATGCAAATAAAATGCTCTTAATCCCATTCCTCTGAATATAACCAAATAACTAAATCCTGAAACAAAAAAAATTCGGTTTGTGCTGCACTGCCACACCAACACAAACTATAATATATCATGATTTATCAAAAGACTGACAATTATGCCTAATTATTAACATTTTATTTGGGGATCAAATGTTTCCTTTTTCCATTTGTATCAGTAAAGAAGATAATTACTGGGGGTTTTACTAACACTTCCATCAACCACTGAAAATTCTGGGAAAATTACCCCAAATCCAAAACAGAAAGATAAATAAAAATGGGTCCATCACCCAGGCAAATAGACTCAGGAAAAGGCAAAATTGAGTCCTGAAAGTAAAAGTTACTTTCTGTTTTATAATAGTAACTATATCTTGTATATCAAAGACAAGAATTTTAGTCTCACAAGTTGAAAACACTTTCAAAATTCCTACCTCTCTCCACCCCACTCTCTTGAACTAGTACAAAAAACCCTAGCTGACGGAGAAAAGCATCAGACATTTTGAGGAACACTGAAAACTAACAAGTTTTTAGACTTCATGAATTTCATCTCAAAAATGGCACTAATGTAGTTATAGTACAAAATTTCATTGGGCAAAACAAGACACATGATTAGGCACAAAATGCATATACATGAGAGGACAACCTGACACTAAGCATCCAGCAGTTAAGGGCTTATTATGGCAGAAAAGTCAGACCCAAGAATGAATAAATTATTAGTCCCAAAGCCTGTTCTGGAAACTGTATTAATGGTAATGTCTAAATGCCATTCTTTGCTTTATATTCATCTGTATCTTTGACTATCACTGCTTTCCCTGGCAAAGGAGAAATCAGTAAATTTCAAGGGCTGCCTGTCTTCTATCCATCTAACTCACCTGCTTTTAAAAAAAACACAACTAAGTCAGAATGTTGGTCTTGAACTGTCTACTTGATTCCTAGACTGAGTCAATGTTAGCTTCTCTCTTTGTACCATCAAGTCTCAGCAACTTCGATATAACTGTTCGTGTGAAACTCAGCTTTCCCAGTCTCAAGTGCAAAAGTGAAACCAACAAAGATGGCAAGTTAGTCAATCTCAGACTAATGCTTTGGAAAAGCAGTTAACCCGATTTTGAGAATACTGAAAGCCAACAGAAGGAAAGATAATCTTAATAATTCACACTCATTTTTCTTTAGCTCTTTTAATTCCCTTTCTAAAGCATCTTGGAAGACAATTACCAGCAGGTTTTTGAACAAAGGTCACTAATCTTTAAATATGACAATGGTAGTCTAGTTATCTAAGCAAAGTGAGTAGGAAAGACCATAAAAACGAAAGCAAATTTATTTGGTCTTGTTTTCACAATTGCTCCCAATTCCATTTTCAATTAGAATACGTTGTTTTATGCCTCCACCTAAAATGAAATCAATTTTCAGTCTTCAGACTTTTTGGGAAAATCCACTTTCCTAGTAAGTCAGCAGGCCACATAACTGACTTAGTTCTTTCTTTTCCTCAACAGACCAACAACAAGAAAATTTCCCCACATCCTAAAGCAATTCCATAGTGGTGTTTCGAAACAGAGCTTATGAAAATGCAACCTACAACAAAGCAACACTTACACTGACTCAAGGGAGAGGACTCCTAGTACCTTGGCACAGGAACTGTGTTCATTTGAATTAATACAGAAACACTTTCAATAACAAGATACTTATGTTCCCCTTCTTAAATGGCAAGCTGCTTCAGGGTAGCAACTGTGACTTTTCCTTGCATCTTCAGTGCCAGCCCGGTGACTTAAGTGGGTTTTTTTAAGTGCAAATAACATTTCCCACTTATTGGCAAAAATGGAATATAGATTCTATTCGCAACCATCAAGGGATGGAATACACAGCATGAATATCCCAAAAGTGAGAGAAGGGCACGTGTCCTGGGCGTTAAGGGGAACGTGGGCTCTCAGGTTGTGTTGGGCCGCGGCGGGTGAGGTAGGCCTCGGCCGGTATCCCAGAAATGAATTCGTTGACAGAATTTCACATTTCTACTAAGTTCAAACACCATCTCTTGCAGTGGCCTTTGGCAAACCACCTATTTTTCAGTTCCCATAAATCACGTGAACTCAAAACCCTATACACAAAAAAATTTTAAACATTAAATTGGGGATGGGTGGGTGTCACAATTAGTTTCAAAGTTCATCTAGTTAGACATCTCATAAAACACATAGGAACGTATCGAAATGATTTTTAAAGGTATTTCTGAGGGCAATTCCGTGTTTGTGGGATTCTTTGTCCGCGGCAACAATCATGGAGTACTTCAGTGACAGAATCCACTTATCCGAGCTATCCCCGTATTAGATGGGTTTTCCCCGCTCCAGGCGCTTCTCCCAGTGGAGTCAGCAAAGCGGCGGGGTGCCGGGCAGCCTCCTCGGAGGCCGTGCCCTGTCCCCCGGCCGAGGCCTACCTCACCCGCCGCGGCCCAACACAACCTGAGAGCCCACGTTCCCCTTAACGCCCAGGACACGTGCCCTTCTCCTTTGAGAAAAATGTCACTAAAACCTCCGGCGGCAGAGGCCCCGCCAGACCCGGCCTCCTTCGGGCTGGATTCCGGAAGGGTCGTCCAGCCTCGGGCCTGAGGCCCGGGGCCCGCCCCGCGAGCGGCCATGTGCAGCGCTGTTCCCAGAAGCCAGATCCCAGCTAAACCACCGGACGGTCATTAGACTCGCCGGGCGGTCAGTCCGGGCCCTGGCTCGGCTCACGGCCGCGGCCAACGTCCCCCTCCCGTCACCCTCGCCTCGCAAGCCGCCCGCCCTCCCCTCCCGTCCCCTCCTTCCCGGCCCTCGGCGTCCCCGCGGCCCAGGCCTGCGCCCGCTCCCGATCCTCACCGCGGTCGAGCCCTTTTTCACCGCTTCCTGAGCGTATTCCACTTGGAAGAGGTGCCCGTCCGGGGAGAAGACCGTGATGGCCCGATCGTAACTCATCTCCCTCGGGGAGGCAGGCGCCGCCGGCTCCGGAGGATGGAGGGAAGAAGGGAAAGGAGGGAGAGAGCAAAGGAGGGGGAGGAAGGGGCGCTGGGGCCTGGCTCGGGGTGGGGGGTGAGAAGACTACCACAGACAGCCGCCAGCCAACGGCCACCAACCGCCCTCCCGGCTCTAAGCTTCCAACCTAACGCCACCCGAAGAGAGACTCAAAAGCGCACACTCATCGCCAGGCGCAGCGCTGCGGCGCTCACGATTCACAGCGGCGTCTCCGTCTGGCTCCCCCGCCGAGCCCCACTTGCCCCAACTGGCCTTTCCGTACGCACTTGGCGTAAGACAGCCGGAGAGCGTAAGGGGCCGTGCGCCAGCGACGGGATCTGGAACGTACTATTGACCGTCCAGAGGGAGGGGAGCACCCTGAGGCTTTGGGGCCTTCAGGAGCAGTTCTTCTACTTGGTGCTCTCGGTAACGGAGACCTTACTTAGTTGAATGAACTTCATGGGTGGAATTCGCAGCGTTTGTTGTTGTTGGAGGGTGAGTCTCAGCCGGAGGATGGTCGAGTCCACTTCCTTATCTCCCCTTAATGTGCCCTCCCCCACCCCCTCCCCCCTCCATTGACTGCGGAGAATGAGAAACCTTTGGACAGGGAGAGGAGCCAGATAATAAAACCCAATGATTAAAGATTGAAACCCGCGGAGAGAAACATGTCGGTGGCCTTTGCATCTGTCCGTCCTAGAGGCAAAGGGGAGGTCACTCAGCAAACTATCCAGAAGGTAAAAGCCTGAAGGGGTAGGGGGAACACCCCCCAAAACCCCCGTAGCCCGGTGGGGGTGGGGGGAACTGAATTTTGAGGTGCTAATGAACGTACAATGGCAGGGGAGAGGGAGAACTAGTGAATTTCGAGGATAGAAATGATGGACAACTAGAGGGAGGCGGTGGAACAAAGCAAGGTGTGCATATCGGTGCAAACCGGCAAGCCACCCTGGGAACTATTGCAACCAGTCATTGAATCCTGACAGGGGTTTGCTGCCGGGTCCTGCATCCCCATTCTTGCAGCCGGGCAACTATTGCATCCGATTATTGCAGCTGGGCAACTATTGCAGTTATATGCAAGCAGGCGTCACGCATTGCAATGGGTAATGTGAACAGATACACGCGCGCACGCACACACGCCTCTGTGGCAGTATCTGCACGGGGACAACGTTGTTGCTATTCTTGTCATTTCTTTGTGGAAAAGAAGCAGAGCTGCCTCAATCCCCCGGCAAGTTTGTTTTCCTGCTTTCTACCCCTTTAAACTGGGGGAATGCATTGGAAACTCAGCTTTGTAAGGCGCTGTCGGTACCAGCAGGTGTGATTAATACTGTCTGAGTCAAATGCACTATGGGGGGTTGGAAATCCCAGGCGGGGGTGGGGGCGAAGCTTTTCTGGAAATGGAGGCGGGGAGGTCATAAATTTTTTTTTTAACGTTGGGCAGGTCGCAGGTTTTTTCTTTTTAATTTTGGGCCAGGATTCCTTCGTGAAGCCCCGAGTGAGCTGTGCAGTGCAGTTGGGAAGTTGGTCGGAGGCAAAGACGGTCGCAGCTCGTGGTTCTCTTTCTTCCGAGAGCCTTGTAAATGATGCAAGGTGCTGAGCACTTCTGGTTCACCGAGCTGTTTTCCTTAAATTAGATAATGCTAGTGGGTTCACCTTCTCATGTCCCCAGGATGTCTGGGGTTCTACGATCTGGCAGCAGCCCCACAGCCCTTGCAGGATGGGGATGGGGACTCTGGCAGGGAAATAAAATCTCGTTTCCGAACCGAGACCCCAAGCTATTTGTCAGTTATAATGGCGAATGCGAAAAGGTGTCTGTGTTAAGAGAGCAGCTAGCGGGCTGCTCCTCAGAGTCTTCTAGCCAAGGCAAGCCAACCATCTCTGTAGCCTACAGACGGCCCCGAGCAACGGATCCTCCCCTCCCGTTGAGTGATTGGGACCGGTGGCTCATCAGGCTGGTTAGGCTGACACTCCAGCTCAGTTACTTCCCTGAAACAGATGGAAGGATGGATGGATGGATGGATGGATGGACGGAGGCAATACCTTATAATTTTTCCTTGTAACTTCTCCTCGGAGTGCAAAGGTATCAGTGCAGGTGTGTGGGAAGGCAGGATTGAACTTTATCTCCCCCAAACTCCAACCTTGGGTTGAAATGCTTGGCTGAAATACAAAGCCACAAGGACTTGAGGCTGAGAAAGGGATATGAGTATTTTAAATCTTGGAGCTTCCTATAAAGAAAACTTGGGATAAACGTAGCATACTGCCTTGTATATATGTGTTTGTAAATGCATCACCAATGCATATTCCTATTTTAAATTGTTTTATTACATTCAGTTTCCTACCTCCTTATTTGACAAAAATTTTCTGAATTTTGGTTCCAAGTTTGGCATTATTTCTTGGAGTCGAATTAAAATGGATTTTGTCGTCCTTTTAAAAGTCTTTAAAATAAAATTTATTTCTCAAAATTACAACTTTTTATTTTTATGATTATTTTACAGGGTTTTCAATTCAGAAAAAATGTTATTAATTATTACATTTCCTACTACTGTTAAATGTATGTTGTAAATGTGATGTTGGGGCAAAAGAAACACAAAGAAAATATTGCAATGTTAGTGCCATTCCTCTTTGCATCTCCACCATCCTAGCAATGGTAATGCACTTGAAACAGAATGCTTGATTCATAATATCTGCTTACCTGTGGGGAGAAGGGAGAGAGAGTATTAAAAAGGCTAGCATGTGAGTAAAAGATCTGAGTCCAAGTCTAGGCTCTGCTAATGTGTGGTCTTGGGAAAGTCACTTAATTTAGTTGAATTAAATAAACAATAATAATAACTGACTATCGTGGTACATCAGTTTTTATCAATTTTTACAAAGCATTTCACATACTCTAATTGTTCCTCACATCAACCTGGTGAGATAGCTACAATATCATCTCCTCTTACAGTTTTGAGGAAATTAAGGATCAAAGAGGTTTGTGATTTGCCTATGGCGGCCTTTAAACTAAAGTCCCACCTTCAGCAAGAAGACTTTCCCCAGTACTTTTTAATCTTCTAAGATGACCTTTAAGTTATTATATATATGCACATATATTTATATATGTGTGTATGTATATATGTAATCTTTGTATATAGTTGTCTGTATGTCTTCTCCCCCATTAGATTGTGGGCTCCTTGAAAGCTTGGGGCTATCTTTTTCCCCTTTCTTTGTATCCTCAGTGATTAGCACAGTGCCTGGCACATATTAGGCACCTAATAAATGCTTCTTGACTGACTAACTGTGATTACACCAGTAAATGTGTGCCAGAAATGGCACTTGAACCCAAGTCTTTCCTGATTCCAAGTCCAGTCCTTTTTCTAGGACAATACACTGTCTAGACTATTGTGCCTCGGGATGGGAGAGATATACTTTGGCTAAGACTCTATCTCAGTCATCATGGAGTTTATTTAACTCACTCTTATGAGCAGTTTTACATTCCTCAGTTGTTAAATGGTGAGAAGAATACTTGTCCTACTTACTTCTCAAGGTTATTGTGAGGAAAATCTTGTTAGAAAGTCAACCCTGAAGTGCCACAAGATGCAAGTAGTGAAAATAGAATTGATTTTTTTAAACTGAATGTGGGCAATATTTCTTATTAATTTGCTTTTTATATTTGTGGAAACATTTAGCAATCCTTCACACGGACTGCTGTGACACAATACATTATTTACCTTGTTCCTCGAACTTAATAATTTGTTTTTATACTTTAGACCTAGAGCCTCAGAAGACTTAGAACACAAGAGACTAAAGAATTTGTCAAGTTAGATTGAGGAGACCCAAAAAGTGCCAGGTTTAGAATAGCACATTGCTTAAAATGTTGGGAAAGCAGTTTCTCAACAGGACTTTTGTTTGGTCTTTGAAGAATTTGATTTTGTAGGAAAGTTAAACTGTAGGCACAGGCATATATAGGAAATATGAAAGGTACTCACATCTGGCAAGTCAGATGTGATGACAGATCATTGAATTCCTAATTCCTTGTTGTTGCTGTTGTTCTAACTTCCTGGGTATAATAAGCATAGTTATTTATTACTGAATCCACCTTTAATTTTGACATACAAACCTGAGCTTCCTATTTGTACCTTGTTCACAGACCATGTTAAAACCCACCCGGTGATCCTGGCCTGAAAGAGATCTGGACATCTAAACATAGGTGTCATCTGAAGGAATCAGAGCCAAATGAATTACTCTGTAGGCTCCTCTTAAAATAGCACATGTTACTACAGAAAAGAAAAGAAAAAATCTGAAGTGAGGTGAAGCAGCTGAATAGCCTACACTGGCTTAACTTGATATTGGCTTCATGTAGCAGAAGCATGACACAAGAACAGTGAATGAATGAATGAATGAATGAATGTGTGTATGTGTATACTGGGGAGGGGAGTATCTTAATCTCTGGGGAGAAGAAGGGTAGGAGTATACAGATTGCTCTAATAGGGTCTGGCTCAAGAACTAAGAAATTACCTGGCATGATGAAACTGGAGAGAGTCTTCACTCTTTGTGGCCTATTTGTTGAGCACATGCTAAGGAAAGGTGAGGAATGTACCCAATTCATCCTTTATGTCCCACATGTCCTTCATCAAAATTCAAGTCCTGGCAAAGTGGCCTAAAGCAAAATTTCCTCCCTAAGCTTCAGTTTCCTATCTATAAAATAGGCATAATAATACTTGCCTGATTACACTGGGGTTCTTTGGATCATAAAAGCCTAGTACAGGGGTGAGGAACCTACTGCCTCAAGGCCACTCATGGTTCTCTAGATCCTCAACTGGAGCCCTTTGACTGAATCCAAACTTCACAGAACAAATCCCCCTAATAAAAGGATTTGTTCTATAAAACTTGGACTCAGTGGAAAGACTTCAGCCAAGGACCTAGAAGGCCACATGTGGCCCTGAGGCCGAAGGTTCCCCACCCCTGTCCTAGCATTTAGAGCTGAAAGAGATCTTAGAGGTTATCTAGTAGAACACCATTATTTTGCTGATGAGGAAACTGAGATCTCTAGAGGTTAAGCAGTACCTGGCAGCCAGGTGAAAATGTAGATGGAGTGCTAGGCCTGGAGTCAGGAAGGTCTGAGTTCAAATTTGGCCTTACACACTAACTGTATGACCTGGGTAAATCACTTATCACTGTCTGCCTCAGTTTTTTCAACTGTGAAATGAGGATCGTAATACCATCTACCTTCCAGAGTTGTAGTGAAGATCAAATGAAATAGTATTTGTAAAGCACTTAGCACACTGCCTGGCACTTGTAGGTGCTTAGTAAATGCTTATTCCTTTCTCCTTCCCTTAAGTGACTTGTCCAGTGTCACACAGGATGTAAGGATCAAATGAGATGTGGGATGTTAATGTATCTTAAAGTAGGAAACACTATTCGAATATAAGGGGGAATTATTATTGAGCACTTACTACCTGGGGGGTCCCTAGATGGTATAGAAGTCTATGGAGAAATAGAAGGATAGTATGTGATTGTTGTCCTTGAATGAGGAGAGGAAAATAGACCTATATACCAAAGGTAACTAACATGCCAACATATGAGAAGACCATAATGATTGTTACAGATCATATAAAGACATTAGTATAGATGGAAATAGGGAAATTTTCATGGAGGGGTGGCATTTGAGTTTGATCTTGAAAAATAGTTGAAATTTGAATAGATGAAGAGAGTCAAGAGATGTTCAGGGGACATGGCACAAGTACCTGGCACATTTGGGGGAGGG